TGTAATTTTTGCACCTGGTTAAAATCACCAACCGTCAAATAAATCTGAGTTAATCTGCAATCGATAGAACTTTATTAACTTTGATGGTCTTTTAACTGCATTAAGCAGCGACAAGTTCGCACTAAAAAACGATCAAATTGCATTCGAAATGCTCGAGTACACTGCACACTTGAATCCAAAACATCATCGGGAGAGCGTATTAGTTATTGAGCCACTTTCAGCCGCCGCACTATATCCAACAAACTTTGAACTGTTAGGTCTTAAATTGAATTTATTATTTATTTATCAATTTCACTTGAAAACAATCTCAAGATTCTGACGGATGTGCACTCCAAACAGAGCCAACTAACTTTATAAACTGAAATGTGAAAACTGTTTTCAGATCAAACTGCACGCAGGGTCGGTCAATAAATCAGGTTTTATATAACATTATTTACTGCTCAGCTAATGGCATAACAGGAGATGAGCAGTGCTGTAATTGGTTTTTTGACGTAACATCCCAAACTTCATTAAAATCGCTTAGTTACGTACTACATAGTCTTATTGCATTTTTCCTACATAAGATCTGTATTGAATATGAAAAAAAAAGATATGCCTATCTCCTATTGGCTGCAGTTAGCATCTGCAGCCAATAGGAGATAGGCAATACCATTGACTTGGTGAATCCCCTCCAAAGATGTTAAGTATGATTGAATTCTTAGGGAAGTAGTTCACTTTTTATGAAACGCTAGAGAAACCATCGTATTTCCGAAAGCAATGTAACATTTAAAAAAACATTGATGCATAAATTATATTGTTTTAAGAAACATGAAAAGTTTCTAGAATTGAATCATTTCCACACAATATTTCAAGAATTTAAATGCGTGAGATAATGGAAAGCAGCTGTTCAAAATAGTGTAAAATTTAAATTGTGGGTATAGTGTAATATCTATTTTAAAACAGCTAACACTGTTTATTGATTAATTAAAATTCATGATGTAAGAATGTAAGTTATTGATGATTGATTCTTTAATGTTTTAATGAGAAATTCAGTTGAATCAATGAAACGAATCGCACGAATTGAACTTTATTTTACTACAAAAACGATCTCGGGAATTATTTTTGTGGTAGAAGCACAATACAATTGTCTCTACTGAGGACTAAGAGTCGGATGTGCATACGATTATCTACGTCCAAGGAGTCAATGAAGGTCAATGTAGTGTGAGTGGTTGTTTAAGATGATTTGTTGCAACAAGCATAATGATAATCTCTCCCAGTGAATTCTGGTTGTTCAGAGGTCAGGAATGATTGCTATGTCGGGGATGAGCGAGAAAATCTGCGTCTAGGTTTATATCATAATCACAATCCCTAAAACATACACCGTACACGGCATCTATTTTTGGCGATAGGATTGGAAGTGATGGAACACAATACAATTGTCTCTTAAGCGATGGGTAAGAGGCGGATGCATACGTCAGTGGGGTCAATGCCAGGTATAGACGAGTATGTTGAAGGGGCGAATCACGAATGATAAGTGAGTAGTAATTATTTAAGATTAAAAGTATGCATGTGTAACAGTTCCTAAGAAGCCTGGCCACTAAATGTAGAGTTTAAGGTAGACTTCAAGGTTAGGTTAGGGGTAGGGTCGACCCATTCTAAATTTCTCAGGCGTGCTGGAATTAAGTCTATTGAAACTTTCATCGGTCGGCTAGACTAAGGTGGTACGGACACGTTGTCAGAATGCCAGAGACACGGTTTCCCAATTTTTTACTGGATTGGAAACCAAACTATGGAAAAAGACTGAGAGGACGACCCCGCAAAGGCTGGATGGCCTGTATACTCGAGGATGCGGCTGACTTTACAGGTGTCGATAACATCAGCATACACGCAGAAAACAGTTAGCTATAAAACGAGTGGAATGGAGGAACATGTTACACCGTAGAAGAGATGTGTGTGATGCAGGCCACTCCAACGACTAGGAGGAGCATGTATGTATTCTAAACAAAGGAAACATGGAATTTCTAAAAATTCAATTTAAATACCGTGAGAACAACCCAGTGCTAGACCTACGTCCTACATATGCAAAATACTGAACCTTCCAAATTCTAGCATCAAACAAAGAATGACAAAAAGAGCCACGCTTTGTCATAAACGTGTCATATTTTGGTCAAATTGATCGAGCATCAAATGGAGCATTAGCAATCATCGAATCGACCAACAGGATTTAATAAAGTTTTGACATTCACCGCTCTTTTACTGCATTAACACAGCAAAATGTTCGCAAAAAAACTTTATCAGATTTCATTGCAATGGATCGGGGATCAAACACTCGTTATCTTGTGTTAAAAGTATATGAAATTCGAGTTTGTGACATACTTTTTAACATCACGCTATCTCCAAAGAATATTGCACTGATATATTGATTGAATTTGATAGCAATTTAAATAATACGTTAATTTATTATTTAAAAACTACGTTAACGAACTAGATCACGTGATCATTATAAAGCGTCATAACCTATCTTTTATCAGTTACAGATAGGCAATGTTTGTTCACCTGTAAAAATAATTGAATAATCAGTAACGGTAAATTATTTTGGTTAACATCTTGAAACTAATATCGGCATTCGTCACAATCAGGCCATAAAAGAAGACGACGTACATTAATGATTGCTTATAAATGAGAGTGTCGTACCCCGTACCAGTCGATGCTGTAACAATCTGGAGGCCACGTACACTAGACAAGTCTAGACTAAAGAGAAAAAAGAGAAAGATAATAGAAATAACCCCACATCAAAAGTCTAAGTAATCGTAGCATCAGTTTGACCATATTATGTCTATTATAAATCGTGTGAGGCGTGAGTGCCCCGTGCTTGGCAATTAGTACTCTGTTACAATTTTAAACGTTTTAAGCAAAATATATTTGCTAGGTCGTACGGAAATTAATTGCAAAACAATGGTCTAGTGACGTAACGTCTGTGGGTTTTTTTGAAGTCTCATTTCCGGTTGTATCATACGCCACAACCCATACGTCACAACCCATACGTCACAACCCATACGTCACAACCCATACGTCACAACCCATACGTCACAACCCATACGTCACAACCCATACGTCACAACCCATACGTCACAACCCATACGTCACAACCCATACGTCACAACCCATACGTCACAACCCATACGTCACAACCCATACGTCACAACCCATACGTCACAACCCATACGTCACAACCCATACGTCACAACCCATACGTCACAACCCAGATGTGTCTAATAAAGAATAGCCTTTTATTTTCGCAATAACAGTTTAAATGCATCAATCAATGACTATAGATCGTCGACGTAATCATGATTGTTAACATAATCATGATTATTAGGCATCATGTAGCCTCCAGGCTCGACAAACCCCGACAAACCCCGACGTCGGGGTTTGTCGAGGGGTTTTGCCTCGAGCCCACCGCCTACATGAGGCCTTCTTGTATAGTGTTTTTCCACGTAAAGCTTGATGACTCCGTCTCGGCTTTTTGTTGGGAGAAAAAAAAGAAAAAAAAGCCTCCAGGCTCGACAAACCGGAAACCCCGACAAACCCCGACAAACCCTGACAAACCCCGACGTGTCGAGATATGTCGTATCATGTCGGGCCCACCGGCTACATGATGCCTATTATTGGCGCAATCATATTTGGTAGGCCAAGTCTTTTGGCCATAACTCTCAAGGCACCCGGTCCATAGATCCATAATAAGCTAATACCTTATCACAGTCATGAGTAACGCAACCATGGAAACAACAGAAATCATCAAACAGGACAGCAGTTAACATGAGCGTGCCGCAACAAAAGAAGAAAAGCTTTAACTATTTAACCAATTATGCTGCCGACTAAATTCTCTATTATAATAGAAACAATAGCAGCAGTTTGTTTTGTAAGCATAGGGACGACCGGATTTTGAGTAATTAAATTGTACTGAATATATTTATTCGTGCTGATTATGCAATCATTAATCATAATTCAGTCTTCTGAGCGAATGAGCAGATGCAGTGGGACCCATTTATCTACTTTCCCTGTAATTACGATCATTTTAGGGAATCATGGAAATCTATAGGGCAAGTGTGACTATCAAGTATGTGACTATCAACACTGGTGTATAATTTACTCACCAATTTCTCTGTTTGAGTGATAAAGAAAGTGCACGTTATATTGCGGAAATTTAGAAATATTGGGTTTGCACGGAACTAAATGAGCTTAATGCTGAATCATCATAAGACACGAAGGACAAGGAGGCAAAATGCCAATAAATTGGCGTTCCGAGCACAGTGTAAAAATAACTAAATAACAATTTAAAGCCAAAGTTTCGATTCTGGAACTGGAAATCAACATGGAAAATTATTCAACTCACGTAACCCAGTTTCGCTCGGGTACGGAAAATAAAAGAAAGGAGTAAGGACAGCAGAAAATACTGAATTATGATATCACGGGGAATTGACACAAATTATTGAGAAGAATTTGCAATGGAGTGGCGGTGATCAAATCACGAGTTGGCTGACGATGAAGCTAAACCAATGAGATAAGCTTTACATTGTTCACGTGAAACAATTTTTGAATTTCACTGGTTACCGTATTTGGGTGGCCCGGTGGCCGGCTGTTTATAACATGTTGTGTCTAGCCTCATGTCTTCAAATTTAATTTTGAGAACCTACAAACCTCTGCCTATGATTTGACCTAACTAGAAATGTAGGTCATTGAACACAACTCACAAAATATACTTCAAATTTGATGTTTAGTCGCTGGGGAGTGGGTATATAGGGCATAATATAATAATTAGAATCTTCGATACGGTTCGACACACGAGTATTTTGAATTGTAGATAATTATGATTTAACGAGAATTCATCAAAAAATATCTGTGGTGGTCCGTCAGTTTTGAATTTTGAGGACACATCTCAAACTCATCATCAGCACAATGACAAAGAAAAGGCCTTTACCAACCTTAGTTAAAAAAGCATCCAACAGAAGATGACTAACCTTTGTATTGAGTGATGAGGGAGTGCTTGCAGTCAGTCGGCTCGTAACACTCCAGTTTTATACTCGTGCTGCTGAGGACGGATGCAGATACCCTCTGAGGCATCCCTGGTAACACTGAGGGTATGTTCTTTACACACTACACACATTACACATTACACATTACACATTGCATATTGCACATTACACATAACACATTACACATTACACATTACACATTACACATTGCACATTGCACATTACACATTACACATTACACATTACACATTACACATTACACATTACACATTACACATTGCACTTTACACATTACACAATGCACATTGCACATTACACATATATTACACATTGCACTTTACACATTACACATTACACATTACACGAGGGGATTTCCAGGATTTATGTATGCTTAAAATAACTTACGATCATAAATCTAATGTTAAGTGTGTGGCGATTTAATATGTTACCTGTGTTCTTGAGGGTAGACAACATCCGATGATATTTCCACAATTTCTGATCTGTATCAGATCCTTTGCTATCCTGCAACAAAAAACAAATGTCAACCTCACGACATACCCAAATAATGATATGCAATAAAACTTTCTAAATACGTCTTGAGGCATGAGCCGTGAAATGAGCTGTCGAGACAAAGCTATTCGTTCAGAGAGTCTATTTTAAATTGCATTTTATTGATCGACGTAAAATTAGGTTATTTTAAAACCGTTGACAGCGTTTTAAATCCTTTCAAAACGAGAGGTACCAGGTCCCAACCAAGGTAAGGACAACAGTAAAAATGAAAGACGACAGTAATAAAACGAAATTGAGGAGAACAAAAATTAGACAAAGGCTAGGGACGAGCGTCGTGCAATGTAAGCAATAAAAGACATGGCGACCTTAAGCTTTTGGCAACCATGGCAACTAAAAGTATTGTCCAATCACAGAAGCATTTTGAGTGTCACGACTTAAAGTATTGCCATGCACATTATTGCCTTTACAAGCAGAATGTTTTTACGTGTTAAAAGTACTTTAATTACCCCACTCTGGGAGAGAGGGGGGTGGCAGACGACAAAGAAAACAGTAGGTACAGTAGGTACAGTAGGTACAGTAGGTACAGTAGGTACAGTAGGTACAGTAGGTACAGTAGGTACATTTGGTACACTAAGTACTGTAGGTACAGTAGGTACAGTAGGTACAGTAGGTACAGTAGGTACAGTAGGTACAGTAGGTACATTTGGTACACTAAGTACTGTAGGTACAGTAGGTACAACCTGAGATACTACCGGCTGTACGTGGTTACCTGTACAGTGTATGTGGTCCTGTACGCGGTAAATTGTAATAATAATAATAATGCCACCACTATTTTACATTCTGATAAATGATAATGACCAGAACTAAGGGCCCTGCTGCCCTGTCGTGGAGTTAGTTCTAGTAGCAGAGTCCCGGCAGTATAGACTATGAAAATACTAAGAGCGAACGGTGTAAAATAGACAATTATTTTGAACTTGCACGTCCGTTTTATTGAACAAAGTCGAACAATCAACATGGCTTAGAAGAGGATAAAGTGAAGAACATCGCTAACTCAATTTCTCAACTGTTTCAAGGGGAAAAACTCAATTTCTCAACTGTTTGGGGAAAAGCGTCTTTTGCAGTTACGCAATCATTATTGTGCTTGTCAGCTAATACAGGGTCTAGCGCTCCACAAGGCGAGCAAGGTAATAATGGTTATAATGAAAATGAGCATGCTTCTTTTAATATTACAGCGAACAATTAATAATGTTCTCAAACCATGCTAGGGTACCTCTATTGCAGAGAAATTAAATAATGTGCTTGTCTTGTCAGTCGATGATATTTGAATGAAACCCCAATTTTGGGACAAGGTGTTATTTTCTGAAACTCCTAAAATAAAATAAAAGGTTTCAAATGCATTAAAATATGACTATTATTATTAGGTATGTCATCTACTTAAATCTGAAAATTTTAATCCTTATCAGATGTAACCGAGCCGTTCGTCCAAATCAAACGAGGGAACTTTTACCCAATACCAATGTTCACAAAAATTAACTATTTACATTCGGAACATTGATCAACTTGAAATAAGGTTGCAGTTCATATTGAATCACTTAAAAGCCCGGAGTAGCTTTATGAAGTTGAATGAATTTAAAACCCAACCATTTATGCCACAAATTGCGGCTGAATTCAAAGTGATTCAGTAACTTTGAGGGCTGAGTTTTAAAGTGGTCTACATATTAATCTACAGTATAATATATTGATTTTAATAGTTTAAAAAATCGACAGAGTACAGAAATGAAAATATAAAATGTTGTCTTATCTTGGAAAATCAGAGGAGTTTATCGATTTATCAACGCGACATACCGGTGGATCGGAGGTCAGGGAGAGGGTACAAGGATTGCTGAGAACATTCGTTCGGTTTATCTCAGTTTCTTGGAGAAGTGCCAACACGTGCTGGTATCTTACTCCAGGATCCTTCATATCTGGAGGAGTTGGGTTTCACTTGAGAAGTTGTAATGTTGCTGGAGAGTAGCGAGGAAATTACAGTTATAGTATGAGAATGAGGAGTGATTCCTAAAATATAACCACATTCTACTTCAAAACTCACATCTCATACTTTCAGCAGCTCCGTGATGTTGTAGTACCCTAGCAACGGGAGTATCACCCAGCAACAGAGACACGTCTAACGGGGTCATCCCTTCCTCGTTTAATCTGAAATCATTTCATGAGAATGGGGAACGTGATGTCTATTATAGCTACGGAAAGTTTCATTCAGCATATTAAAATTTTATGGTTTAAGCCCAAAAAATAGGTTGAAATTAATAGATTTCGAGAACTTAAACTCAAACTATTTGTACTCAACTATCTTGTTAGTTACTGATTAAACCAAAATATCTTCGCGGCTAATTAATTAATTAACTTATTAATAGGTATGTTACCCATTGATCTGAAGTCCAGGACAGGTAACAAGGGAGCACACTTTGCTGTACCAACTCAGCTCAATGGCATCGAACAGGGCAAATAGATCCTGCTTACTTGAGTTCAACTGAGACTTGTGACGATCTGGCGGGGGATTAGTTTTTGATTAATTTATTATTAAATATCTTTTAAGGCACAATCAAAGTGGGGTCAGGGGCTCTAGGAAGTGAGATCACGACCTAGAGTCCGGACCCCATTAAATAAAATGGTTACCGATCAAATGAATAAACAGGTTTCAAGTTTCAACACACGATTCCCACTTGAGGGGTAACGGAAAAGCTTAAATAATAAATCATCAGTCAGAACTGAACAAGGAAGTTTTTTATTAACTCCTACCGGTAGAATTTGACAAAAGCTTTCTGGAGTACATTTCATTAGATCCTGGCCATCTCTCTACCTGACTGAAAAAGAAGGCCTTTGTTAACGGATTTAAAAATATTTTGACACCCAAAATGCTCAAGTTATAATGTGAAGTTATAAAGGATCATGTACGACACTTTTATGGGAAATTTGAACGGAGGCTGATCGGTATTAGAGCAACTACCAAACGGTTAATAGGATTATGAACCGTGATACAATTCGTCAACCAGTCATGAATTTTTAATGGTTCAGAATTTCTAAATTATATCAGTATATGAGAAATTGAACCCCCGCTAGAAATTATGGAGCGGGAGAGGTCGAAAATAAACATGAAATAAAAAATACAGAATAAAGAATACATGAAATTATAATGCTTTTGGACACGAAGCATACATGATGGGTACATGAAATAAAAAATTAAGCATCAAATATACGACAAAATCAACGAAACCACTAAACATGTTAAAATGACAGCAAGTGTAACGGAATAAATTATAAATAATACATTAGTATCGGGCGTTGCCTGCTACAGGCTATTATGATATAGTAATACATGAAATATAAACCATCGCGGTTAAGCTTCTTATGGAACCACGTGGAGTCCAAAACTTTATCGTTATATAAAGTTTACAAGCCGGTTCACTCAGAAATCTGTGAGTAGTTTAAAATGCAGAAAATCAGAATGAAAAATCAGAGATAATATGGCGTAAACGTATTACACCTACATGTTACACTTACAAGCTGTTATGTAGAGAAAACCGCAAATACTAGCAGAAGATCGTGAGGAATTGCACAACTAATAGCAATAATACATTGTAAATTGCGGGACAAGCAACGAAAATATTTGCTTCAGAACACGTGTGCATAAATTTACAGATTTCAGTGTGCATTGTAAAGTGATTCAACACAGCACTAGGAGCTGAAATAAATACGGCACCGTGATATCACTACTTGCATGAAGGCATGAGAATGTTACGTTATGAATTCAATCATCTATATAGCTTCTGACCCTATTTTGTTGTATTAATTTTAATAAGATACAGCATCTGACAACAATGTGTTTTTAATAATCATTAACGTGCTTTTAAAAAAAAAATGTATATTGTTCATATATGCCTACATACTATTCTTGTTTAATACGGCTGAAGTAAACTGCAAATCAAACACTACAAGCAATGAACACAAAAAACAAGCACACAAAGGGCTCAATAGTATTTTGATGACTCGGGTGTCGGAAAATTAATTGATCTGATTAAAATAATTGGCAACTATGTATTTGATTGAATTACTTATGATCCATTATAAAAAGGTAAAAAAGGAAGGGTGTAGTCCTAAGCCGGGTTATTAAAGTCGTTTATGCGTTATTGAACTATTACTCAAGTAGTTTATGCGTTATTGAACTATTACTCAAGTAGTTTATGCGTTATTGAACTATTACTCAAGTAGTTTATGCGTTATTAAACTATTACTCAAGTAGTTTATGCGTTATGTATAGCCTATTTTTGAGTTCTCAAATTTATGGGAGTTACACAATCAAAAACTTTAACAAATCGCGGGCACGAATTATTAAATGCACTTAATTAAACCGATGGATGCATAAATCAAAATACATATCCCAAATAAAAATCTGATGTAAAAATCGCACTTCATAATTATAAGTGCCAAATCCAACGAACTTCTTGGAATAAGGTGATGGATTTAATTTTATTTCATTGAATACTGAAGCGAGACATGATATTTTAAGGCCAGAAGGGGGCCAGAAGGGGGCCAGAAGGGGGCCAGAAGGGGGTAAAAATGATTTTTTATAGTTTAAAATAATATGTAATATGTGATGGAGCAGCTGGAGATGAACAAGAAAAAAAAACTGCTTACAAATCTGACCTTGCGTTGCTCAGATTTAGCGCGCCAAAGTTTGAGGTTTGCCTGTAATTCATTGAAAATTCATTATTTGGGTTACAGTTAACCTCATATTTCAAGAACAGAGGCGAATATCAAAATTCTGTACATACCGTTTGTAGGCAGCGGCCCAAGGAACGCCTGTGCCAAGTCTCAGGTCCTCCGTCCTGGGTATGGCCAGCCTTTTTCAAAAGTCAAGGTTTACCTTATTTGAGTTATAGTTAAAGTTTCACATATAATTACAGGTATAATTAAACTTTGGAGCGCAATATCTCAGCAACGCAAGGTCAGATTTGTATGCAGTTTCTTTTTACATATTTATCTCCAGCAGCTCTGTCACTAAAAAACTATACAATTATTTTTCCCCCCCCACCCCATCTTAACTGTTGACATTAAAAGGCTAATGTCAGCGAGAATTCCTAGAAACTACAGGGTCACAGCTCTCTAGTTTCAAGGAATTCTCACTGACATTAGATTAATTTTACTTTTGTGAACGTATGTTTGTCTAATTGACTTGACGATGTTTTTTTTTTTTTTTTTTTTTTTTTAAGAGAGGCTGGGCCAAGATAGCCCACGAGAGGATAGCATTGAGATGCTCTGCCTACCTCTGGGGTGTGGCAACCTTGGGGAAGGTTGCCGGTGAAATCAGAGTGATTGGTGGAGGATGGTGTAAGATGATATATGAGTCAAAATGATACGCTTAAATGCCAGCTGGGTTTGGAAAAGTAAAACGAGACGAGACAGCATATGAGATAATACTTTAAGTCACCCCGGTCTGATCCAGCTCTTCCGGCACAATTAAGCGTTTGGTGCGGTTTGCGAAATTGACAATTGTGGTGATGTGTTGGTTGTCGAATATGTCATTGACAGAGAGGTAGTAGTCCTGGAAATATTGACCTCTAATTTGGGCAATAGCTGGACACTGTCCAAGGAAGTGTGAGACAGTTTCCTCTCCGTCGCCGCACATAGGACAAGCACTGGTGTTTGATTTGCAAATGGTGTGAAGGTGTTTGTTTAAGCCGCAGTGACCCGTGATGAGGTGAACTGCAGTTCTGTAATCTTGTCTGTTTTTGCTGAGTGTAGTGTTGAGGTTTTTGATGATTTTGGCATGCTTGTGGCCGAGTGTCAGTTTGGTGTGTCTGGGACCGTCAGTTAACCAAGTTTCCTGATTCAGTCTGTTGACTTTGTTGTCGATTTGACGATGTGCAGACGACATAAAATCATTTAACGCTTCAAGAAATGATGCTCATTTCTAGATTGGTTCAGTTTTGGCTGACAAGTTGTTGCTAGAGCAGGAGAGCGGGTGGAGTTACAAATTCCTCTAAAGAGAACAGTCAATCTCATTCTCAACAGAAAAACTACACAGTTTACATTACATTGCTTTTTCTTTCGAGGACGGATAGTAAACATGGGGGTTCCAGTGGGGGGGGGGGGGAGCAACGCCTCAAGGATCAAAAAACATATCGTTGATCGACAATCAAGCAATGGAAATGTACCTGCCTCAATTGTAACGACTCAAACTGAACCAGCACTACCAATACCATGACCGGCGAGATAATGCACTTTCTGAATATACGATGAATGATTAATGATTCACTTCTTGATACTCAATATCATATTGAATTTAAGCAGCTGATGGTTACGTAACTTTGCATTTATTAGTTGCATTAATGAAACTGGACTTAATATTGATAAATGAAATGTCGTAGTCTGAACCCGGTAGCTAAATGAATAAATCTGAACTAATGGCATTAAAAATCACTTAATATAAGATATCGATAGCAAACGTCTAAACCTTGATATTATCACGCACATTTAACTACTGATAACCACTACCTGAACCGTTTCAAATAGTTGTTTCAATTATTATACGCTAGGCCTAAAAAGATATTTGTTTCAGAACCTACTCTTCAATTGTATATAATACGAGAACTATAGAGCAAAGAAACAAACAGACAACATCACACAGAGCACACACACACAGAGACTAGATAATTTAAGCAGTGTGAAGCGAGATTAGCACAGGTGGCTACCGTTTTCATTCTCTGTAGGTGCTCAATGTAACTACGAGAAAGAGTGGGATTATGGTATTTTCTCTCTCCCGGTAACAGAGTGTAACGTCGTGATATTTTATTGATCTGGTTACTGGTGTGAGGTGCCTTGTGTAATATTGTATGTGAAGTTGTAATGTTATTTTGTCTTTTTTTCCCCGGGATATATGAGCAATTTCCGTCAAATTTCACACAAAGAATGTTAAAAGATTTAATAATATCAATTCGGAGATAATGATATAGCGTAAGTTGGTTAGCGCTGGTAATGATATTGAAAGAGAAGAGAGGCTTACCTTGTTACTAGAGGTTGTCTTGAGGCAGAAACCTGAAATGTATTAATACAATTAGTATTACTATAAATTAATTGTCAGTAGTAGTATATTTATTAATTAGTAGTACTTATTAGTAACTAAACATTATAAAGGGCTATCCCATGAACTGCAAATTCTAACCACTAGCAACTGTGAACTGACTCTATCGAGAAAAAAATGTTAGCGATTTTATCCTTTCTAGATCTGTTCTGGCTTCTCGTGAGAAAAGTGAGAGGAGCGACAGTGTTGCTCTGTAACTGAACACAATTTCAAACAAATGAGAAGTCTTGAATCCTAGTCCAGAGAATCTGGTCAGCCGAACTGCACTAACTTTTAGAAACTGACTATTAAAATAGGAACAGCCAGAAACCAATGGGATTTCCAGTTGGCTCCCAACAATGACAATGGCCCTTGTATTGTGACTACGAGGATATCTCTCAGCAATAAATCAGATAAGCACATACCATGAGTTTACCAAACAATCTGTATCTTCGGGGAAAACGAGGCATAGTAAACCACTTACAAATACGAGTGATACAAAATCTTGAAATCTCCAAGTCTTAAAAGAATAAAATGTCAACTGGCATGTCACTAAAGCTACAAATCTGATTGATCATACATATTAGTCCAATTAATTAAGGTAAAACGGAGAGGTTTATGTTTCAAGAAGTAGGTAATAATGTAACCTGATGACATGCGAGCTTCTAGATTAGTTAACAGCCGTACATTTGTTTAAATTGATAACATTATTAGGCAACATCAGCTCATCAACCATGCTCATCAACCATGTACAGAATGTAACCAGATGGATCACATGATATGAGTTCAGACGATTCAGATGTACTCAGACGACTCAGATGTGCTCAGACGACTCAGATGTACTCTGACGATTCATCAGTACGCATATCAAACGACATGCAACTGAGATTCGTGAGTTACTATTTATATAGTCACACGCGCTAGTCATTCACAGAAAATCACCATAGTTTCGAGGAAACTCTGAATCTCCAGAATTTGCCTAATCAACTCAACATGTCCTAAAAAACTTGGAGATCCATAGTTTGATGGAAGTAAGTCTGACACATGCAGCGCAAAATCTGCGACTACAAATATGACAAATATCTTAAACTTTCAGTAAGCAGACTGAACCCCTAGCGCCTAATAACTACCAGTACAGATACGGTGAGGGTTAGGAATGGGGTTCAGGCCTCAGGGTTAGGGTCACAGTTAGGACCACGGTTAAGCTAGCGGTTATGGTTAGGGTTAGGAAAAGTGTTAGGCATTCGGTCCGCCAACCTGATCTTTCTCCAGAAAATGGTGCAATTGTCAAAAGTACAGTAGGTTCGCCGATAATGTTGGACATAACTATACAATCTGAGCAAAATACAAAAAATTAACAATTACACTTACCCGTTTTAAAATAGAGTTGCAACAAACAGCAGAATCCATCACCAGCGCACTAAATACTGATAATGTGTAAAGCAATAAGATAAGACCAATTATTTTGTACACACACTTTCATGTGTGACACAAAGAGTGTTGAAATTTGAGTCATGTTTATCATATCACAAGGTAATGGCTGATATGTTATATAATATATTGTAAGGTTGGGGCAGGGTGCCATGGCAGCGAGGCGAGATTTACACCTGAAGGAGTGGAACCAGACAAATTAAGACAGGATTGTCATAAAATTTCAGTTAGTTTAAGGCTGATATATGTTACACGATATCTTTTCATTGGATACTTTGATCGGCTGTATTCGATAGCTGATCAGTTTAGCTGATTAATTTATGTTGATTGTGAATGTCATGAATATTTAAGTACTCTATGATTTGTTTCTGCATCACTGTTGTTTCGTCTGCCTATCGCATGTCAGTTTTTGGATTGCATGTTAAGTGTAATAAAGACAAACAAAATTGAAGATCTTATTCTTACAGAGTTTACTTCAAAAAATATCAACTATATTTCCAAATATACATCTACTATAATATATACTCGTAACGTTCAAAGAATTCTTCCGAATGAAATAAAACAGTCTTTTCTAGCACGTTATAATCGACCAAGATGTGTGTTCATCGCTCGAAAAGACTGTTCAAAAGTATGGTAGAAGAATATAACAGAACTACTATTATATATATATAATTTACATACAGTAATTTATGAAATGTGTGTCTGGGTGTGTGTGTGTTTTATGCTCAAGAAAATTAGCTGCACTCAAAATGTTAAAACAACAAACATCAAAAGTGCTAAAATACATAATTTCATAAACTTGGTCACTTCAGAACGATAGTGCCCTAATTCTGTCCATCTACTTATATTATAGAACCACAGATTCTGTATTTTACAGTCTATTCTATCACAGCATTGATATCACAGTCTATCTGCGATCTGAGCGGGTCACAAATGCATCATAAAACTAGAATTTCTTTTAGTTTAGCAGCATCTTCAGGCTTGTCTAGCCTCGATAGAAAGGAATGTAGAGACTGTTTCAGCTGTCTCATTTCGGTCACGTGTGCTGACATGATGTTTGTCGCCTCACGAAGTTGTATTAATCCAAAAATACACAGTGCGAGGATTCCTGCAAGAAAGAGAAACAGCATGGCGTGCGAGAAGAAGGGTCAGCTGTTCTTCTTAGGGGAAGAAGAAGGATCCATGGGCTGAGTATATTGAGACTAGAACGACCGATAAAGCTGGGAACTCAAATGACGAACGATGGTGGAGCAACAAAACAGCAGGTATGAATTTCACCTTCTTACAGGAATTTTGTTGTTTATGGGTGTGGAAATTGGGATAGCCAATAACTACTCAGCAACGTATTTCGCTCACACGATCACAGTAACACCACTAGTCACTAAACTATCAAACGTACAATGTACATTCATTCTATATACCGCCACTCGACAACAAGGCTGACCGAGTTTGTTACGCTAGATAAATTGCTAGAGTTAGTAACTATAATAATCTTCAACTTTACAGGGTAAATATCCTTGCAAATTATGTCGAAATTCTTATGACTGATATTGGGGGTAGTTAAAACATCAATATATCGACTAGCATGTTTCAATGTGTGAACTACAGGGTTCTTGTTTTTAACTTGCAATGTAATGTAATCATGCTCGTACCAGTTATATAGAAATAGGTCCGCCACCTGAAAGCCACAATCACATCCCATTGGGATACCGCCACTCGATATATAATATACCACTCGACAACAAGGCTGACTGACTGTGTAACGCTACATATTCGATATTTGGGGAGGTTAAGAATGTGAATTGCACAGAATACTGGAAGTGTAAAGGCCTTGCCAATTGCCTGTATGATACCGGTGTATAGTATACCGTGTGTAAGTCTGACACAGACTTGACAATTGGTTCGATGTAAGTTACACACTTTTAAGACGTTCACGAAAGTTTCAAATTGTTTTAGACCATGAAAATAAAGTGAAACTTTCGGTTATCGATGAAATGACGTTTAATTCGATTTGGCGCGAATCGCAAAATGCGCGTTTCCGACCATAGTGGATATTTTATTGGGCCCTTGATATGTTATAATTGTAAGCGGCGTCCGCGTGTTCCATAACTTCGCATATAGAGAGAAGCGCAGAAGGACTTTTGACTAAACTGTTCCAAATTGCAAGACCGAAAATCAAGCGGTTAAAGCAATTAAATTAAATAGAATAATTCCTTCCAGATCTTACTATACGATATCCCTCAAACTTTCCAAATGGTAAGATAACTATAAGACAGAAGACTGACAATATGTGCAAGTATGGGTAAATTTCTATGTGCCAAATTCGTGATATCACTTCAAACACAAGAAAATGTCTTCAAAATAATGCCATGGCGCATTATCCTTATCACTTTTATCTAAGAAATTGAACTGATGAATGACTTAAACGGCCTCATTTTCACTAACTTTAGGCGTTATCTTTTTTTGAGAACCAATCGGCAAAGTAAGCTTAGCGGTCAAATATGGGCTATAATCTGTACTGGATTCCCAAAAATTGATTTCATATAAAAATTCACAAACTTAGGCATACGAGGTTCATATAAGCGATATGCTTGATTAGATGCATAATTCGCAATAAGTTTCTGTAATTTATTTTCGATAGGAAAATAGAAATATCGAACCGTGTCAACTGTTTATTTTACAGGAAATTATGAGCAATGGTATAAAGGATAAAATGCTTACCTTCACTACAGCATCATCTGAAAAATGAATAAGTATGAGTATATTTTGTTGATAGAATTTAATTAAATTAAACAATTTTTGATTGATTGTTATTGATTGTGTTGAAATAATGTTACGAATCCTTTGTGGTGTTAATTTTCCTATTTTCGTAATTGTGTTGAAGTTAAAACATTATCCGAACTTAATATTTTTGTTTCTCTAAGAAAAAACCAAAACATGCATTTTCGTCAACAACACCTCTATGAAGACTAAATTCCTTGGATAATTTAAATCGTGAAGATTATTTTAGTATTTATCTCTTAAATCATGCACAATCAGTGAGAAAATGATCTTATTATTCTAACGCCTGTTTTTCCTTTAAATTCTCAATAAGAACTCTCAGACGGGAAGATAATTTGATAATTTGAGAAAGACCAGCATTACTACAGTAAAGGCAAAAGCCGCGGTAAATCGGAATTTTGATTGTTTACATATACATACGATAACCCCCCATTTGGAGGAAGACATGACCGCGGTAAATCAGGGTTGTACTGTGCTAGAAATTAATAAGAACTTGAGATCATTAATCTTTAACGTTATCTATAGCGTATAGTGAACAGGGTCACAATTCTAAATCGAATTTTCGCAGTAACAGTCAATAGTCGATTATCCCTTTCGATAGTACATCGCATTTTTGGTTGAAATCATACTACTTCGGTAAATTAGGTTGAGCGACACATTACACATTGTCCACCTATAGCTAAGTTAAAATAAAATGTGCATAGTTAAAAACACGTGTTCTCGGAAAGCTTCAGAAGCAACAACCTCACGTTTCAAACACATTTTTCCAGACTCCCCAAAATGATTTCCTGCACATATATATTTAATATAAATATAATATATGCATATCCTGTTAACAACACTGGTCTCAGTAATATCTAATCAGCCTGTTTAACATGTTGAATAGTGGTTGCTTGATAGAATTAAGAGCCATCGTATCTAATCGATCATCTTCAACAACTCCGTCTCTCAGCGAGAGCATTGGAATAATATAGTGTAATCAGAATTTAATGGATAATATATGAATTCTTAGAATATTCTATCGTAATATATAACTAATAAATACACTCCTTACATTACCCACCGGCCACCCTTAACCCGACTACCAGCAACATATTGATTTGATACCGACCGTTAAAAAATCATCTTTGAAATATCATTAGCGATTTATTTACGATATTTTAACTTCTTCAGAAGGCACCATTACAGCTGAAAGGTAAATGTAGGTGGTGGGTGATCAGTAGCGTTCAAAGACATTACATTAATACAGTGATTTGATTGAGAATTTGACGCGGGTAGAAATTTAACAATTTAGTTAAATTGAGGTTAATTAAAGAGGATCGGAAAATAAGTGATAACTACTGATCATGTCTTAGATAAATTAAGATCGCTGTTAAGTTTCACTGTAGTTCAGTTATTTAGTGTTAGCTAATGAAATAAAGGATAGTGTGAGACATTGAGCCTCTTTTGTAGCGGAAAGTGGTTAAATGCACTAACCACAAGGTTATTATGTTACTAACCTCAACTACATGAGTACTTAACAGCTGCATTACATATTCTAAACTGCTGAGCGCTTCATAGTTAACAATACTTGCTTTAAGTTCTTCCTTTTCAGGTGTATTATAAAGGGATTAAAGACAGGGGATATTATATGAATTAATTAATGAAGACAGTATGAGTTAACCATCAACTT